AAAGAGTGCTCAAGGAAAATGCCTGGGGAGGGACAATATAATAAAAGCGGGTGGTACAAAAAGAACAACATAAAAGGAAATTTTACCTTTTTGGTCCTATCTAGCTTGTAACCGCGCTAGCATCATTTAAGGCACATTTCCATAGATTATCAATCAGTAAAAGTGGACATGAATTTAGAGAACAGATAACTTTAAAGTTTCTACTTTCTAAAGGCCTCGAAAGTCAAGAAGTGAATTGAAAAAAAATATTAACTATTATTTTTCAATGAGAAAAACTAAATTCAAGATTGACACAATATCAATGATCTTTCCAAATCCCATATTTCCATCCAAAAATGACAAAGCCTTCCTTCGAAATACACAAAAAAAACTTCAACATTTTCTAATTGACTAAAAAATAACAAAACATGCTACAGAATTTATTTGCCATGAAGACACTATAAAAATACAATTAACAATTAGAATGAAATCAATACACAAATAAATGCTTTTTACAAAAGGCGTAGATGACTGCTCACCTCCCTAGTTTCTTTTGCATTTCTGATAAGCCCGTCAAGACAGTTATTTATGACCATTAGATCACTATGAAATTTGCGCTGCCTTGGAAAGAACCATCTAGCAAAAGGAAGATTCCAGTAAGGGATGTAAAATGTTGACCGATGTTCAGCCTCAGATAGAGTTCCATAGACTGCCTGTTTCACAATTTACAGAACAATAGAAACACTATTGTAATTTAAGTAGCAAATATAAGTTCAGTAAAGAAATGAAAATAAAAAGTAATGCACATATTAAGCATGACGCTACCAGAGAAAAAAAAAACAAAGTTTTCATAGACAAAAAATTAGAGGCATTAATGAAAGATTGCAACCATTCTGGCTCTTACAGATTGGGCCTCTTTGAGCAAATTCTATCATTCAATCCAAAGAGCACCATCAAAGATGGTCACTAAGAATATGAAAGGTTACTTCAAAAAGAAAAAGTTCCATGCCATTGAGCACATCACAGAATCCAATGTTCTCATAGTAGCATCATACAATAAATTCTGAAATCCTTCCAGACAAAATACATTACATTTAAAATAGCAAATTATATGCATTAAAAGTGGATTAGATGTTAGATAAAATACTTCAAAATATTTTGCCTTTATATTTCAAAGATTTTTTCTTTATAACACTGTCATTGCCAGTCCTAAGCCCGGATGTGAAAAGTGGTGGGTTGTGTTAGATACTCGACAGCTGGCATAAAACTTATCAAAAAAAAAAAAAACAAGGCATGAATCCTTTTAATCATTGTGTAAGTTTTAGGGTGTCCCCTGGAAGAATCACGTCTTATGGTCTGAATGCAGTGAAAAGTGTGCAAGGGACGCTACACCGGTGCCCGGGTGTAGTGTCAACTAAGCAAAATTCTCATATTACGGACGGATGCAGGAAAAGAAGTTAGTCCATAAAACTAATGAAACTAATATTAGGATGAAATCTTGGAATATAAATACTTTCAATGGTGAATTAACGGAATTAGTTGCTATTATGATTCATAAAAAGATTAATATCTTATATATTCAATAACCTAAAAGGTTTGGAGAAAAGAGTAACGAAATTGATAACTTGGATTTTAAACTTTAGTATTCTGGTAAGAATCGCACTAAAAATGGTATGTAATTATAAATAAGAGTTTGAAAGATAATGTTATAAAAATAAATAGAGTTGGAGATAAAATTATAACCCTTAAGATTATTATTGATACTAAGATTTTTAATATTATAAGTACTTATGATCCTCAAGCAGGTTTAGATATAGTGTCTAAACATAAATTCTGAAATGACTTAGAAGACTTAATACAAAGGATTCCATTTGAAGAAAGTATTTTTGTTGGAGGAGATTTAAATGGACATGTCAGTAGAATTTTAGAAGATTTCATAAATATTCATGATGACTACGGTTTTGGAGTGACTAATGAAGAAGGTAGAATCATTTTAAATTTTTTTTCAGCGTATGATTTTGTTATTATCAATACTTTATTCAAGAAAAGAGATGAACATCTTATTACTTATAAGAATAATAAAACACAAATTGTTTTCTTTCTTATGAGAAGAAGAGATCGTCGGGATTGTAAAGATCGTTAAGTCATTTTAAGTGCGGATTTAAGTATCCAACATCGATTACTAGTTCTAGAATTTAAGATGAAGAGTAGTAAAATAAATAATACTAGGACTCGTCATCGTAGAATTAGATGGGGCAACCCAAATGACACAAATAAAATATTTTTATGAGTAAAATTCAATATTTCAAAATTTGGGTTATTCATGAAGAATCAAATACATGAAACGAATTCAATGTGGGATAAAGTAACAAATATTATTAAACAAGTAGCAAAAGATATACTTGGATACAACAACAACAACAAAACCTTAATCCCACTACGTGGGGTCGGCTAAATGAATCTTTTTTCTCCATTGCGTCTTATTTAGTGTCAATTTAATTTAGTTCTAGTAAATTAAGACCATTTTTAATACAATTAGCCCAAGCCTTCCTAAGTCTACCTCTACCTTCTTACCACAAGTCGAATCTAAAAGATGTACTTGGATAGTAAAAAGAAAAAATCTATAAATAAAAATAGTTGGTGGTGGAATAATAATATCAAGAAAAAATAAAAGATAATAAGTTAAGGCATAAAAATTGGTTTAAATGTAAAAACTTAGAGAACTGAGAAAAATATTAAACAACCAGCAGGGAGTCTAAATGAAAAATCTATGATGCAAAAAATTCAACTTTTATGGATCTTTATAATATATTAGATACTAAGGAGAATGAAAAATATATGTATGAAGTAGCCGAAAAAAGAGAAAAGAAAAGTGATTTAACTCAAGTAAAGTATATTAAAGGTGAAAATCAAAAAGTATTTTTCTTAGAAAAAAAATATTCAACATAGGTGAGTGAGTTATTTTGATGAACTTTTTAATGAAGTTTTTGAAAATACGATCGACCTTAGTGATCTTAATATATTAAAATGTTTCATTATTCTGTCGCATTAGTAAAAAAAAAGTTGAGTGGGTTTTAAGGAAAACCACGAGTTGAAAGTTTGTAAACCTGATGGTATCCCAATTTAAACGTGGAAAACTTTAGGAGAATTGGGAGTTCCTTGGCTGGGAGTTTCTTGGCTTACTAAACTCTTTAATATTATTTTAAAAACTAAAAAGATGTCTGAGAAGTGGAGGAAGAGTATTTTGGTCCCCACTTTTAAGAATAAAGGATATACACAAGAGTGTGCAAATTATAGAGGAACTAAGTTGATGTGTCATATTTTAAAATTATAGGAGAGGGTAATTGAACATAGGTTAAGATGTATTAAAAAGATTTCTCAAAATCAACTTGAATTTATGTCGGCTAGGTTTACTATGGAAGTTATACATTTATTGAGAGATTTTATAGAGAAGCTCAGAGATAATAATGAGGATCTACATTTAATTTTTATTAATTTAGAAAAAAACTTATGATAAGGTTCCAAGATATATTATTTGGAGAGTTCTTGAGAAGAAAGGGGTTGATATGACTTATATTCAACACATTAAAAATATTTATACTATAGTTGTTACTTGTGTTTGAACTGAAAGAGGATTGACAAAATATTTTCCTATTCCTGTTGGATTACATCAGGGATCGACTTTAAGCCCATATCTTTTTGTTTTAGTTATGAATGGCCTTACTGGACATTTACAAAAGAATGTACCTTGGTGTATGCTTTTTGCTGATGATATCCTTCTCATGTATAAGACGAGAGAAAATGCTCAGGAAAAAGTTGAATTATGAAGGTCTACATTGGAGTTTAAAGGCCTTCATTTGAGCCTTCTTGGAGTTTAAAGGCCTTCATTTGAGTAGAACTAAAACTAAATATATGGAATGTAATTTTAGTAGTAGTAGCTCTAGTGACAGAAGTGTAACTTTGGGTGATCAAATTATTAAAAGGTGTAAATGATTTAGATATCTAGGGTATGTTGTTCAAAGTGATGGTGATATAGATGGGAATGTCAATAGTAGAATTCAAGTTGGTTGGTTTAAGTAGAGGAATGCTTCAGGCCATTTGTGTGATAGAAAAGTGTCGCTTAGACTGAAAAGAAAATTTTATAAGATGGTGGTGAGACCTGCAATGCTCTATGGCGTTGAATGTTGGTTTTTAAAAGAGAAGCATAATACTAAATTAAGTGTTGTTGAGATGAGAATGATTAGGTGGATGAGTGGCTTTACACGTGGAGACAAAATGCAAAATGAATATATCCATGATAGGGTTGGTGTAGCTCCAATGACAGACAAAAGTAGAGAGATTCAACTTATAGATGGTTCGGTCAAATTAAGCGTCGACCATATAATGATCAAATTAGGAGAGTATATGTTTTAGATTCGACTTATGTTAAGAATAGCAAAGGTAGACCTAAGAAGACTTGGGCTTATTGTATAAAAAATGATCTTAATTTAATCGAACTAAATGAAAATATGACACGACGCAATGGAGAAAAAGGATTCATGTAGCCGACCCCATGTGGTGGGATTAAGGCTTTGTTTGTTGTTGTATTGCAAAGATTTTTTTATTTTAAATTCCCCATAAAAGCAAACCTAATAAAATACCCCTCTCAATAATGAGTGGTCGATTATCTTCTCTAATTAAGTTAAATCTGATTTTGCTACAATAGGAAATGACAGAATCAAGATATCTTGATCAAGTTCATCATCATCCTCCACCATCCTATTTAAGTAGATGGTGGCAAATTTCTCTATTTAAAAAGAAAATTGCTACTACTAGACGTAGAGCATTTACTGCCTAACAATTAATTTTAATCAAAAGTTTTTCGTCATGACCGAGAATGTTATTTAACCACAGCTGCTTATCACTATGGGTTACATGAAACTATAACATAAAGTCTTCGCAAAATAAAAATGAAATATCTAGATAGAGACCATGACGCAGGAGCTGAAGATTCCACATCCAGCAAAATCCAGCGGAACTGTGGTCCGCATTCCAGCGATCGTGGAACGAGGACAAACGTGAGTCCCGTCGGATAAAAACCCTTCTATAGGATTTTCTGCCTCCATTATCAAACATAATATTTTTTCTTTTCTAGACTTATTTCCTATTTATTTCTTTCTAATTAGGTTTATTTATGTAAGGGAGACTATTTGTGCTTTTTTTTCTATTTTGATAACACTTTTGATTTATTTTGTGTTTTTAGAGATTGTATCTCTGATTTGTACTTTAATTGACTGTTGTATCATTTTCATATTGCAATTGGTGTGATTGTATCTTGCTCAGGTACAGGTGGAATCTCCTCACTACATGTATCTTGTTGTTTCCTCGTTTGAGTCACTCTTTTCAGCCGAGACAGCAGTCGAACGCATCGGATCTGCTGCCCACTCGCAGATTTTAATTCATATCTCCGTCCAAACGTTGTCAATACTTCATGTCCACTTCCTTATTATTCCACAATCGCCATCCCGCCAAACCAACTTCCTCAATACCTTTTAGGAGCCAAAGAATGATATCATCTAATATTAGAGCCCGAGAAAGTCTAAATGTTTTGGGATTTATCCTTCCTACACCTAAATTAAGATTTCATGCAACCTAACCTAACACCCCAACCAAAAAAAATATATCCCACCTGATACATTCATAGTGTCCTTCCTAGTACCAAACCAAAATTTTC